AGGTTTTGAGATATTTTTATCACAATATACTAGCTCATATCCTGGCATGTCTAAAGTAGGTAAGCATTAACATTCATTTTGAAATCATATGCTTCTTGCCAAGGTTACTTTCCCAGTAAGTTAAGGAGTTTGTCATTGAGTAATGGTGATCCTCTCATTATGAAAATAATTTATTTCATCTAAGATTCCTGAATGTCATTCTTTGTAATCTATTTCTGCCTAAAGTATTTTATTATTAACCCAAAAAAGCCAAACTCATTGCCATCGAGTTGATTGCAACTCATAGCGACCCTATAGGACAGAGCAGAACTGCCCCATAGGGTTTCCATAGGGTTTCCAAGAAGCATCTGGTGGATTCGAACTGCCAACATTTTGGTTAGCAGCTGAGCTCTTTAATTAACAATTTCTTTTACTGCAGTAGAGAAGGGAAAAATACATGCTATTTGGAAATATTACAGATAAAATTTCCTCTGGGATCCATTCTGTTTAAGGAAGTAGTAGCTTTTAACAAGTTATGCAAATAATTGTTCTAAACATGGGCATTTTGTGCCCAGGAATTTAGATTTTGTAAATAGAGAAATAGAGATTATAAACATGAGAAGAGGAAGAATGTTAGAAGACTAGTATTTTAATGAATTGAGCCAAATATTCAATGTAAGTACTCATTCACAAATCTAAAAAGATGTAGGTGTTTAGAAGATCAGAATCTTGGTTATGACAATTTCTGCTCTTTTTGTGATTTTGAAGGTAAATTTCCATCAAAGTTATAAGAATTATCTTCTGTTTTAACCAGTGTTTCACAAATATTTTTTCCCTTTCTGTACTAATAGTATCGCACAGTCTTTTTACCGAAGTTCCTATTACCATTGCTATCGGCCAGTTGAATGAATGCTTCATTAATACTCATCTGCTGTGGTTTAAGTTGTAGTAAAGTACACTTAAGGGGCTCTGGTGGAGAAATAGTTAACCACTTAGCTGCTAACCCAAAGGTCAGTGGTTTGGACTCACCTGGTGGCTCTGCAGGAGAAAAGACCTGGAGATCTGCTCCCTTAAAGATTACAGCTTAGGAAACCCTATGGGGCAGTTCTACTCTGTCACACTGGGTTGCTAAGAGTTGGAATTGACTCAATGGCACATGACAACCACAGCAACAAACCACACTTGTCTCTTTGGCTTCAGATTCTCCTCAAGGAGAGACTTTTTACTTTCCATTGGTTTGAAAGCAAGCGCTTAACATTTCTCTGAGTCAAGCTGTCAAACGAGAAAGTGCGGTAAGATTTCCACAGAGAGAAACTACAAGTTTCTTAGCCGTCCTAAGTAGTCAAAATAAAAAAGCTGGACTAGAAATAGCATATTAGTCTTTACAACATGAGATCAAAGAAAAGGCCACCACTGGAGCTCAGACTTCTTACTGTGAATACTCGGGAGTGTCTCCGTGAGAGCAAAGGTTGTAGGTGAAAAGGGGTACTGGAGTGTCTCAGAACGCTCAGTACCATCTGTCATACCCAGCCTCTCTTACCTTCTGGCACGGCACGGATGACTCCAGATATTGTGTGATAGGTAAGTTCACAGAAAGAAGACCTTTCAATGTGAATTATCCTTGGAGACAAATGGAAGATGGGTACTAAAAATGATCTGCGCTACCGCTGCACAGGGGCTTCTGTGCGTAACAACTATAAGATGTTGTATGACGGAATGTGATTAACTGTGCCGGCGTTAATACAGAGCCGAGCTAATCATAGCTGATGGAGCAGTAAGTTTTTAATTTTTGCTTCGAAACTCTTGTTTCTACAGTAACAACTTTGATCACTCAAACATACACCGACACTGAGAGACAAACAGTCTTTACTAATAGCTCTCAAAAGTCAGTTTTAGATGCCTAATAGATAAACCCATTGTCGTCGTGTTGATTCCGGCTGTAATTATTGACACCCTATGGGATTATAGGGTCGCTATGAGTCGGAATCGACTGGACGGCAACCGGTAGTAGGTAGTATAGGACAGAGTGGAATTGCCCCACAGGGTTTCCAAGGAGCGGCTGGTGGATTCAAACTGCCAACCTTTTGTTTAGCAGCCTGAGCTCTTAACTGCTGCGCCACCAGGGCTCCTGCATTAGAGATATTGGTTACTGTCCCCCATGGTTATTCTTTTAGATTGTTTATTCATTTCTAGACACAAATATTATTTGACTATGAAAATCAATACAAATTTGATATATTTTCATAAATTCTATTACTTAATATTAAAATATTCTTTATGAACTTTAAGAAGAAAAATGTTTAGCATTTGTGATTTTTATGAGATTAAATCTTTGCTTGATAATAACTTTCAGAAAGCCTAGTGAAGATGTGACTAACAGTTTTGTAGCTAAAAGAAATCTTGCTGCTAAATTTATTTAAGGGAAGGACCACTTGACTCTGAGAAGTAGCCCGTGAATGTATTTGGATTGTGCCCACAACTTTATGTGTCAGGGAAGAGGGAAAATATGCAATATGAAATATGCAGAACAAAGTTAATGACATTTTAAAATACATATCATTATTTAATAACACATATTACCAAAATAGTTTTAAAAACCTTTTTAAAATGTAGCCTTCAGATGAAATAAAATTTTTTTCTATGCATATTAATATTTCCTGGGTAATAGTAACTCTTATTCCTAATTATGCGTTCTCTCAGAAAAAATAAATAAATTACTTGTTAAAAAGAGGCCCAGCATAGTGTTATGCCAATTCTCAGCATTTATTCTAAGATGTTCATATTATCTAATTAACATTGTAATCTGTAACTAATAAATCACCACTAATTTGAATGGCCTGGGACCTAATTCCAGATGCGAAACATCAGTAAAGAGACTCCAGGGTGACTTTGTAGCAATTGTGCTTCTGAATGGCAGAATCGCCAGTGTTAACGTGGTGTTTCAAGAATCAGGTGTCTCGTTGTCTCTTACATGATTTTGCGAGAAAACTGAAAGCTAGAATTCAGGATTGCTAATGGAAAATTATTAATAACTCTTGCATGCGACTGCCCATGATGTTATTACTTTTATTATGCTCTTTCTTCCCATAAGTTTGTGCTATTTAAAAAAAAAAGATTTAAAGAAACACTGTGTCTGCAAATTTCAAGCTCTTCCTGTGCTTAATTTTAAGGTCAAATATATTTCCTTTAAATATATAATATTTAATATGTATATTTATCATATATATTTATTCTGTATTATATATTTTAAATTTCTAAATATAATTATATATGTATATGTGCATATATATATATATATCAGTAGATATTCAAAAAAGCAGAGTAAACTATTCCCTATATTCTTATTAACTCAGGAAGAACTGAAATAAAATAAGACTATGAATAAATATCATTAACAGAACATTAATCTGTGCATACAAAGAACTGAGCAAGATGCTTGTTACCCATTTCTATTAGCAATTAACGACCAAAGAATAACCTTGACTAGGTGTCTCTCTACAAGCGTTTTTCAATTTCAAAAGCGTGTTTGCCCCTTCTTTGAAAACACAAAACAATGATGAATTAAGTAACTATGGCTTTTACATTTAGAAACTGGAATTTGTATAAGAGAATATGATGGTCAGTCTATTTCTGGTTATATTCAGTAGATATTGGTGTGACAGCCAGTATGCCATAATGACGGACATTCCTTAACATTTACACTTGACGTGTGTGTGTGTGTGTGTGTGTGTGTGTGTGTGTGTGTGTGTGTGTGGAGGTGGGGGTGGTGCTGTATGTTTCATCCTGGCCTTAAGATACAAAAACTTGTGCCATTTTTGGCAATGCAATTTGTGATGGTACCCAAAACAAAAACCTGTTGACTGAGTACCTCTACTCTAGAAAATATCATTTGATTAGTATTTCTCTTCCCCCTCAAGAGGAAGATGGGATTAGGGAAGACAGAGAGGATGAAAAGGAAGGAAAACAATGTTAGCGGAAGCATCTGCAGTCATACTGCCTGATGGTGTTTAGTACAAATTTAAAGCCTTCACTCTCTTCACTTACCCTCCAAGTAAAGTATCAACCACAACAAAGGAACAAATTTAAACTAGAGTAGTCATCTGTGGTATTTTTAACCTGGTTAAAACAGAACAAAGTCAAAGCACAAGACTCAGTCATAGTGTGGTGAGTGTCTGTGAGCACATCTGAAAGGAAAGGGCAGCCGGGACGTGAGTGCAGTGCTGGTGGGTGTCATCCCAGCCATCTCTCAGAATAACCGACCCTGTCACAGTTAATTCTCATGGTCTATTGTTAAAGACTGTCTGAAAACAGGAAAAGAAAGCCAGATTCAGAATTCAGATAGTATTTTCATATTTCAGCATAATTATTAGGACCAATGTGTTCATTGGTTGGTTAAAAACACAATATTTAACTTAAAAATTAAAGGATCTGAGAATGACTGTACCGCACCGATGCTATCTTAGAAAGGCAGCTGACAGAATTTCACTTAATTGCTGTTTGGTCGGCGAACTTCAGTCTTTTCTCCTTCAACTTCCCAAATAAATCGTATTGCTTTAGAGCTGATTTATGTTTCCAGCATAATGATGCATTTTACCCATTCAGCTATGCTGGTGTTCTCTGAAGCCAGCCAGCCATGATCTCACCTCACCTATACAATAAATCTATCAGTGAATAAACAACATCGTTTTTATTTCAACGTCGATGACACACTGCATGTTGAGTTGGCAGTTAAATAATTTCTCTCTCTTTTAGGTACAATCTTCTAGCCTTATTATACCTCTACTTCTAAGACTCGTTTCTTCTTTAGTTCTGTGCTTCGAGAGCATGCCTGCCAATCAGTTCAATTGGAATGCCATTCTGACCTTTTACTGGAAACAATTTACTCTTTCTTCATTGCATCCTAGGCTTTTTTCCCTTTGATTCTAATTAAAAGCCTTAATTACTAGCATTTAGAAACTTTATACTAATTAACCTTAAAAAACTAGGTGCTCATCGACATTCCTGACACTCTGTCTTCACAGAGGTTATCCAGCTGAGTCTTCCTGCAGGCCAGAAAGTGAGCGTCACTGCAGCAACTGGGGGACAGAGTGCTGTGCTGAGCTGTGCCGTTCAGGGAGCCCTGAGGCCCCCCATCATCTGGAAAAGGAACAATATTATTCTAAACAATTTAGATTTGGAAGACATCAACGTGAGTACATATAGATTGCTTTTTTGATTTGTATATTTCACATAATGTACTCTAGATTTGGTGAAATGTGGGAGGCTTACTAAGTATTGGCTGTAGAGCAGAAGATAATGATTGGTACGCTAGCATACCCATACTGATGACTGAAAGAAGCCCTATAGATCATTTGAAATTATTTAAACCATCAGTAGAGATTTGTTCAGCAGGTTATGTGGAATGTGTTGGTGGGAGAATGAATTAGTGCAAAATCTTAGAGGGGGTGTCTATTAAATTTTAAAAAGCAAATACTCTTATCATAGCAAATCCACAGCTAGGAATTATTCCTATAGATATACTTATATGTGAATTTAAATATATATGTATAAAATTGTTCACCTTTACAATGTTTGTAAAAATAAAATATGTATATATATATATATTAGAAATACCATCAGTAGGACACATGATAGTATATGTGTGTGTGTGTAATATAATTCTGTATTGTTATTAAAATTAAAGAGGGGGATTTATATGTGCTGACATAAAAGTGTGATATTCATATGTTTATATTCTTATACAGAATGTTCCCATTCATCTAAGTCTATATGTTGTGTGTATAGTAATTTCTAGAAGCATGCCTATGTTATGCTTCCGTGGTGGCTCTAAGGAGGAAGGAGTCAGGGAGGAAATGTAGGCTTATCTCCAAGTGCTGCTCATTGTACTCTTTGCGTTTCTAACATGTACATACATTAATTTTTACTAAGAAAATAGTTTTCAAAAAATAATATTGTGGTGCGGTTATTTATTGACATGATTTAGTTGGGATTCTTTTTATTGAAGTCTCACAAACACAGTTCAAAATCCTAAGGAAAAAGAAGATTGTGTTGGAAACTTCCTGGGTTCAGTTGTCTTCAGGAATGCCTGGATTTCAGGGTTTCTAAACATATCGTTAAATGTCTGTTTCCTCTCTGTCCTTGGGGTTTATTTTTAGACAAGTGGTCTCCATGTTACAGGGAACGTGGTCACAAGCAAACCCAAATGTGTATTGATTAGAGCTCTTGATCCCAGAAGAAGCCCCATGTCCTGGTCCCTATAGAACTCGTCCTAGGAAGGAGTCAGAAGTAGGCAGCTAGAGCTGCCTGACTTTCCTTGAACTAATTACTCCGTCCAACCATGCAGTACACTGATTGGCCAAGCTAGGGTCGAGTGTTCTCTGGGCCAAGAGGCGACCACCCAACTCAATGGAGTCGATCTGGGTTATCAACGAATGGTGGCTGGGTAGTTTCCCAATAGATGGGTATGTCAGAAAAAAAAAAAAAAAATCCCCCCAAACCTTCATATTCTACTACTATTGGTTAATGATCTCTGGACTTCATGCGTGTGCCCGACGTCTGTAACTGCCCGAATCACCAACAGCTTGTCTCGAAGTAGTTGCCTTTACGGCTGAGCACCAGCGTACAGCTCATAGAGTGTTAGAAGAGGGTAAAGGCAGTTTTGGTTCAAATACTTCATGAAGTATTAGAAACAAGAAAATATTAATCAAAACAAATAAATGATTTATTGTCTAGAATCAGGCAACAAGTTTCTCCACTCAGATTTATTCCTTGCAATTCAGTATCTAAACCCAATCCAATAGGGTACAGCTCCAAAGGTGAACTAAAAACAAGAGCAAACACACAGACCCCAGGACATTCATCTGTTCCTTCCATCCTTCCCAAGCTGTCAGAAGTGAACATCATCCTAGAAGATGAAAAGAGTAAAAAATCCTGCGGTTAGAGGGTATCTATGGACATGAGGAGGTGCAATTCCACTTTTGTTTTGTGATTTTGGGGTTTTAAGATCTGCATGCATATAAGCCTTAGTTATTATTTTATTATTATTATCTCTCAAGAAAGCCATCGTCCCTCCACTTATTCTTTACTGCTTTTTAAAGAACCCTACAGCACTGGCCCCAGAAAGTCACCCCTATTTGTTGTATCATCCTAAGGCTCTGGGGTAATGTAATAGAATGCATCAAGAAACAGGATCTTTAACCCATTTTTTAAATCGATACAATTTTTTTCTAAATGTGCTCACATCTAGGCACTTTCCTCGGATAGTATATGAAGAATAATGTTTAACTATCAAGAATAGTGTGTCATAACAGATCTAATCTCAGGGGCATTTGAGTTTATCTGAGAGATACGATCCTAGAAAAATCATCCTGGGTTTGCTTTATGAGTTTCTACGTCTACATTTTACCTTTTCTTTTTCTATCCTCATCCTTACTGTCAACCTGTCAACTATGATTTACAATAAGGCCTTTTATTCTAATGTGCTGTGGTTTGAAAACCCCAAACAAGCTTGTATGAAGTGTTTCAAGAATAAGAGAGAATATGTTATGAGTGATATTCTGTGGATAACTAGCAAAAGTTGACACATTCTTGTGCATGAATCTTATAAATTCCCTTGCTACCTCCTTTCTTCTAGAGATTTAAAATTTCTAGAAAAATGTCTTCTGGATAAGTTAGGTCTGAGATTATTAAATAAGAACTGAGGTAAGTAAATTGATATCAAGTTATTTTGGATAGACTTCAAAGAGCAGATACATTTTATATGAATTTTAAAAATATTTCCAATATTTAGAAAGTTTCAGTTTAATTTTGAACCACATTTAGTTAAATTGAACAAACATTCATAATATATAGTATACACAGAACTAGTAGCCTTTCAAAATTAAAACTGCAGAGATTATCCAGAGATACTTGTGAAATAAGGTAAGTTTATTAAATTTCCCAATATACTCCTGGTGTTTTCATTTAATTATCAACTGTGAAATTATCAAAATACATTTTGAAAGTATTTAACAATATGACTGTCATGTTAAATAGAAGATTATACTTGGCTCTGCTTACAAGTCTGCCAATATAAAGACTTTATAATACAGATAAACAATATAGATATATATTGTCAGCTCTGTCTCTAGTGGACACATGTTTTCTGGTTACCCACAACCATTTGAATACTGCCTTAATGTTTTGACAATTCCTTCTCTATGAATTTTGCTTCCCCAAAGTGGAAACCAAAAAACTTGCTTGCTTAGCCTTCCCTGCAGTTAGGATGCATAAATGTGAACAAAGAGTCTTTAACAAACAGACCTGATGAGCAAGACCCCATTTCCTAAGCAAGAACGTGAAAAGGCAGGCACTTTAGAGAATTTTTTTCACCCCAGCTATTCTTCTGGGCCAGTGCCAGGGCAGCAGAACCCTGTTCTCAAAGATGGCGGTGATTGGCACTCTAGGGGTGCTCAGCCTTCAGTGTCAGTGGGGTCTTCACTAGGTCGGTCTCAGTATGCTCCTTGGGCATCTTTGATGGTATCTCAGACTCCAAGGCAGACATTCTAGGATCTTCCTAAAATTCTTTATTAAATTCCATACTGCTTAAAACTAGCTAGAATAGGTTCTGCTGTTTACCACTAAGAATACTGTTTAATTAAATTTTGGAGGGTTTAGTTACATTAAATATGTTTCTAATTATATCTATCGAAGATGTTTTTCTTAGATATGGATTTCTGGTAAGTTGAAAGAACAATATGATTTTCTAATAGTAAACTACATTCTCATTTTGCTCATAAGCAAGGGAAATTTTCTAAAAATTCAGACATGAATCAATTTTTATACTCTATTAGTAAATTATAAATTTTCACAAAAGTGAGTTTAATTACCATTAAATTAAGTAGAGTTAAAATTATATTATAAATGCTTTTCCCATGAAAGGAAGTCAGTGAAAATTTGCAAACTCCTTTCTAAGTCTTCGGAGCCCTGGTTGTGAAGTAGTTAAGAGCTACAGCTGCTAACCAAAAGGTCAGCAGTTCAAATCCACTAGCCCCTCTTTGGAAACCCTATGGGGCAGTTCTACTCTGTCCTGTAGAGTCGCTGTGAGTCAGAATTGACTCCACGGCAACACATTTGGTTTTAGAGTGTATGTTCTCCCAGTCAATACATGAATACTTTCTCATTGCAAAAGATTAAAATAATATTTATGCATAAAGAAAAGGAATCCATGGCAACTGGTTTTGTTTTTTTGTTGCTTTTTTTTTCTTTTTTCTGTCTGAGTCTAGATCCAGAGGTTAACTATTTCTCCTGACATGGTGGCTTGCCAATGTGGGCTGTGCCTGAATTCCAGTTACTCCTCAGCCACTAGGAGCGATGGGACCTTTCTGTGTCCCGGTCCCCTTATCTGTAAAATAAGAATAAAAACAGACTTAACTCATTGTTTATTCTCTTTTGTGAGAATATGATAAAGCTTGTGAAGTAGTTACCCACTTTGCCCAGCACATGGTAAGTCTTCAGTTAATCTAGGATCTTGTTTTTCCTTGTCTCTCCTCCTCTTCTTCTTCCTTCTCCCCCTCCTTCTTGTCTCCTTATATATGTTTCATGGAGAACAGGCTCCCTCCCCTGTGCCTAAAAGAGCAGGAATTTACTGTTAGGGTACAAATAGTAATTAACAGGGGAGATTGACACCTCACAAGAAAAGCTGAAACAAATTTTAGCCGCGGATTATATTCACCGGAAATGGAAGATTTTTCTTTATTTACTGCAGCATTAGGAATCATGCTATCTTATCTCTCGATTTTTCATCAATCTCTACTCAGATAACATGACATTAATTTGACTCCGTTGCTATACATTCATCCATTTTCTTTTGTCTGTACATGTTACCTCTATTCTCTTTTTGCCTAAAGTTCTGAAAAACATCTCATTAGCTTTTGTGGACCATACTGCTGTGGGTGGAGCACGGCACTCTAGCTATGATGGTGGTATGGTTGTATCTGGGCCTGAGTCCTGATCCTGGTCTGCTCTACAGTGACCACAGGGTGCCAATGACAAGGCTGACTTCTCCTATCAGACCTCACTCTCTCCAGCTGGACCCTGTTTTGCAAGTTTCAGTTATTACAATGAAAATTGCCATCAAATCAGAAAGAACTGATATAATTTTTATTGCTATGACTTTCAGTAACTTCACAATAAGTGTTGCCAGAATTC